GAGGTCAGAGGTAGTGGAGGAGGTGAGGTCAGAGGTAGTGGAGGAGGTGAGGTCAGAGGTAGTGGAGGAGGTGAGGTCAGAGGTAGTGGAGGGGTGAGGTCAGAGGTAGTGGAGGAGGTGAGGTCAGAGGTAGTGGAGGGGGTGAGGTCAGAGATGAGAAGCACCTCATCTGGAAAAATGGTGTCTTTGTGTCTGGCATTAAAAGAGGTTTGTCTGAATTCAATATGACAGGTGTCCCTTAAAAAAAATGAGGCAATTTGAAATGACCTGCAGAGGGATGACAATCTGACCAAAATGGAAAGAAGCCATCTCTGGGCTGAGGAATTCTGCAGGTAGCACCGGACAGTTCTGGGAACACAGGCTCCCCACAGCCCCTCTCTGTGCTCCCTATGGCTCTCGGAGCTAATGGCCGATACACAGCGTTAGGGCATCCAGTTCTGAGAACTTCAGTGGGATATCAGGAAACCCGGGAGCAGTCTACATAACTTGTTTTAATACTTCTCTCTGCTGTAAACTTTTATTAAAGATATTTATTATCTGATCGTGTGCATGTATCTCCTGTGTGCACAGGCATGCAGGTTCCCATAGAAGCCCAAAGGGGGTGTGAGGTCCCCTGGAACTGGAATTGCATGCAGTTGTGAGTCACTGGATGTAGGTGCAGGTTCTCTGCAAGAGCAGAAGGCAATCTGAATTGTTGAACTATCCCCAACCCCTATACTTTCTATTATTGATTCCACACATTTGTTTACATCAGTGCTGGCATGGGGCATGGGGAGGGGAGGTGCTTTGTTGGACCAGGACACTGACTGGGTCAAGGAGACCTGGGGTGGGAGTAGGGCAGATGAGTGCACCCCTGAGAAACTCGATGTCACCTGGGGACCAGGCCAAGGTCAGAGGTGGGCCTTCTGGTCCATTTTCTATCCCCTGAGCCATCAAATAGACCGGCTCTCGCTCTGGAACCCAGGAGCAAATGTGTGGCAGACACACTACCCACATCACAGCTGCCAAGGAGTCAGGCGGCAAGGGAGGGTGCTGTCCTCACCATCCAGGTGAATTTTCTTTTTGGGGTGCAGCAGCTTGAGCCAGCACTTCCTCTGGGGCACACTATAGCTGATATTCATCCCAACATCCCTGGCCACTTCTGACTGGGGTGTACCCATGAAGAGGCGGGCGGCGGCTTCTTTGGGGAGCCAGCTGTCTTTCTGAAAGCACAATGGGGTTCCTGAAAAGAGAAGACCACCGCTCCCCTTCTGAAATAGGGGTGCCTACCCAGGCTTTGAACAGCGACACAGGACTGGCAGATAGTCAGGACAGTCTGGCACAGGACTTTTGATTTTCCCTCACGGTTGGGGTGCAAGGCTTTGCTGCATGCTAGGCAAATGCTCTCCCACTGAGCTACACTCAAGCTTCTCTGGTCTTGATTGACAGGAGAAATGGCCAGACTGGGACTTCTGCGGTACACAGCTCCAGCATCCTGTCAATGTTGTCTCAGCCCAGACTAGGTCCCTCCCCTTTCTCACTGACTATGCACAGCGGACACCTGCAACCCCAGGACACAGCCCTATGCTCTGGAGTCAAAACAATACTGTCTTTTGCTTACTGCTACCAACCCTCCTCCAGATTCTGAGGTCGGTGAAGCCAGCTTCAGCCTCTATCTTTCCTAACTTTTCACTTCTCCTGGCCCAAGGGCCTTTGTTTAACAGACTTCCTTTACCCCGAGCCTCCATATATGAAACTTGGAGAAAAGCAGCTTTGAACTCAAGCTGCTTCTAGAACCCAGAGCCAGGCTGGGGTGTGGCTTGGTGGGACACTGCAGGCCTTGTACACACACACAAGGCACCAACTCCTCCCTCTATATTGCAAAAGCGTCAAATAAAATACCACATCCTGGTTCACTCATTCGGCACTTCCTATGAGGCTAGGGTGACGCTTGGGGAGCCCTAGGTATGCAAAGCTCCGGATCCTGGGGGCTGACACCCCAGAGTCAAGGGCATACAATAACCACACCAGAGCCAGGTAAGAGAGCAGCCAGAAATCTTTGTCTTGTGGGTACACGAGTGGCCCTGGAAGAGACATGTGTTTTATGTCGGGTGGAAAGGCACAGGCTACCTGTGACGGCCTGTTAAAATGCCTGAGAAATTGCAGACTGAGAGGTTAGCTGGCATTGGAAGAAAGAGTGTCTCGGGCACAGGAGAGAGCCAGTGCAAAGGTCTGGGCACGGGAATGAGCTTGACACATTGAGTCAGAGTTAATCACAGCGCTAGGCAGAGTCAGCATGTGCAGAGATCCTGCGGCAGGAGGGAGCCAGCGCAAAGCCTCAGAGTCGAAACCTGTGTCCCTGTGGCCAAGTCCTTGGTCCTGATGTGCAGCAGGTACAGCTGAAGTCCCAGGTCCTGCTTCTTCAGAGTCAGTCCCCAAGCACAGGTGCCGAGAGCAGGGAGGGCTGACCAGGCCCTGGCCAGGTCACGTTAGTACACAGCTGCCGACCCAAGGCTCGGGACCCTGCACAGACCCGAGTGACAGCTGTGGTTAGCAGAGGGCTCGAGCTGTTGGCCCAGCCACCCATGTTAGCATTTCCTTCTGAGAACCAGCGCTGTACAGACATTAACCCTGAGAGACAGGACTGTATAGGCTAGGGCTCCTCAGACTCAGCAAGCTGTTGACATGGGCCCAGTAATCTTTTGAGAGTATCATATAGATTATACAATGTTCTATAGCATTCCTGGCCTTTATCAATTGGATGCCAGGAACTACCATAAATGCCAGTGTTGAATTAGGAGCGGCGGGGCTGCATCCCCGGCACCCGGCCGTCCGCATGGGTAGCTTATGCCCGAAATAATTACACGGAAACTGTATTCTTTTAAACACTGCCTGACCCATTAGTTCCAGCCTCTTATTGGCTAGCTCTTACATATTGTTCTAACCCATTTCTAATATTCTGTGTAGCCCACGAGGTGGCTTACCAGGGAGGATCTTAACCTGCATCTGTCTGGAGTGGGAGAACCATGGCGACTCCTGACTAAGCTTCTTTCTCCCAGCATTCTTTTCTGTTTACTCCACCAACCTATGGGTTGGCCTATCAAGGGACCTAGGCAGTTTCTTTATTAATAAGAAATCACTCCCACATCATGCCAGTTATAGCAGCTTTACTAATCATTGCCTTAAGGCCATCCCTTCAATTCAGGGGTGGTGCAGCACTGAGAACTGGTGCGGACTCGTGTGTGTGTGTGTGTGTGTGTGTGTGTGTGTGTGTGTACGAACATGTGTGTGCAGGTACCCAAAGAGTCCAGAAGAAGGTGTCTGATCCCCTGGAGGTGGAATTACAGGCAGTTGTGAATTTCCCACTGTGGGTACTGGGACCCAAACTCAGGTTCTCTGCAACAGCAGCCAGTGCTTAACCCCAGAACCAGATCTCTAGCCCCAGGATGATTCTTTGTGTTTTGCGTGAAACAGGGTCTCACTCTGTAGCCCCAGCTGTCCTGGAACTCACTCTGTAGAGCAGGCTGCCCTCAAACTCACAGAGGTCCGCCTGCCCCTGCCTCCTGAGTGCTGGGATTAAAGGTGTGTGCCACCACATCCATGCCCTGGACCACTTTTTTCTTATAAAATTATTTTTATTTTGAACTACATAAACATCTTTCTCTGGAATGTACCAAAGTGACTTGCTTATGGTCTGGGATAAACATAATTAACAAAATGATTTCATTTCTATTGTACAGAGCTGTGATGTAAAATGATTTAGAGGCTGTATTGTTTTAGAAAGCACATAATTCAACAATAATATATTGAAGGAACTCTCCTGCTGAAGCCTCCATGACAAAGCAACATGTTCTGGTTGGGATGCTGAGTTCTGGAGGATGCCTAGCTTCTACCACACACAGTCACTGGGATTGGCTCAGTCTCCTCCAGTTCCATTCTGAATGGCTTGGCAGAGAAAGATTCTTACATCTTCTGGTAAATGATTTGGTACAATTTGTGTCGATTTCAGAACAGAAGACATAATTTTGATCAGTGGAGAGTGTCAGGTCCTTCTTGGCTTGATGACGTTCCTTGGCAAAGACATCTAGGATGCTCGACATACGTCACGATGGCTGTAAGTCACTTCTCAATGTCACCCTTTCATTCCAGACCCAGAACCCCTTCACGCTTACTGAGTCGGCATAATTGTGAAACACTCTGCAAAGATGGCCATAGCGTCTAGCCCAGGCTTGCATTAATAAATGCACATCACCCACCTCCCTTTCTCCAGCCTCATGCGAGGCCCTGGAAACCACATCATCAGCTGAATCTTGATTCCCACTCCGATCCTCACAACGGTCACCCTGGGCAAGAGAAAACAATGCAAGCTGTGTCTGAGGCGGTGTCTTTGGCTAGTCTCCTATCAGATCTTCTCTGTAGACTCTTAATCTCTCTGGTCTCTGTGTTTAATGGGAGTCTTCACCTGTTCCAAGTCCCTTCACAGCCCACAGGACATTTGCGTCAAACTGAGCTGAAGTTTGAGCACCCTGAGGGACTCTTTCTCCAGGCAACCTGTGAGGGCTTCCCTCTGAGCTTCCTCTCTATGTTTGCAGAGGTGTGCTGTCTTGACCTGCCTTGCTGATCTTTGATCCTCGGTGAGAAGGCAAGTGATGGCTACTCCATCTACACCTTTCACTGTTACAAATTTGTACATGACAGCTCCACCCAAGGACGGCCTGAAGCTAGGGCTCCCTGCTGACCTGCAACCACCTCTGGGTGATTTCACAGGTTCAGTGAGTCTTAGTTACTTTTCTATTGCTGTGAAGAGACATCATAACCCAAGAAACTTATAAAAAAAGTATTTAATTTGGGGGCTCATGAGTGAGTTTCTGGACAACCAGGGGGTGTTTCTGAGGGGTTTTCTGGGTTAGGATAATGAAGAAAGGAAGACCCACCCTAAACGTGGGTCCAGGACTGAATAGAAAGGAGAGTGAGAGCCAAGCAGCAGCATTCACTCCCCTCTGTGTCCTGACTACAGGTGCAACAGGACCAGTCGGCCTCCCTTCCACCATGGCAAATGATCCTCTGAAGATGTGAGCCAGAATAAACCCTTTCCCCTTAAGCAATTTTTGGAGGCAGGAGAATCAGGAGTTCTGCTGCTTGTGAGTTTGAGGACAGCCTGGGCTACATAAGACCTTGTCTCAAATAAACAAACCAAAGTTGATAAAGACTTCTTTGTACACGAGCCCTGCAAAATGGCTTTGGATTTTCCCAGGGTGCAGTATAGAAAGCAGATTGCTAGGCGACTAAATCCTTTTGGAGAGTAATCTGGAGGTCATCCCCTCCACACCCAGGACACCCATCTCAGGCTGAGAACCAGAGGCCCTCCCACCAGCTACCATCAGCCATCCCTGTCACCAGCCTATCTTACAGATGGGGACACCAAGCCTCTGAAGGACAGAACACTGCATGGCGGGGGTCAATGCACAGCCAGAGTGTTCAAGCCCCATTTCTAAGCCCCACTTCAGGTCCCCCCAACCCTGGTAGATGATGTGTTGTTTGTGTTCTCGGTCACGCCCAGAACCCACAGACAGCTTGGCCGGGTGGTGGGACAGATGTCCCAGAAATGAGACCATGACTTACATGAATTCTGTCCCTCTCCTTCCATGCCACATGGGCTGCTCCTGCAGCAAACTCATTTGGCTATATTTCCTCACCAACAGTGGGATTAAAGAAGGGCCTGCCCTTCTTGGTCCGTGGTCACTGGGGCTTGGTGAGTTTGGGTTGGGCTCCTCTTACCTCCCTTGGTCTCTAACTAGAGACCCTGGGGCCCGACTGCCCCGTGCAGCCCTGAGCACACAGCTTCACCACTATGGGCCCGTCTTCTTAGCAGTAAAGGGACCTCATAGTCCAAGATCTTCACGGTGTTTAGTTCGGCCAAACAGGCGGGCTGAGAATTCCCATACCCTGAGCCCTTGCTTGCTTCCCCAGTCTGTATGATGCCCAGCCCTACCCCCTGAGCCCCTGCTCAGCTCCCCACAGTCTGTATGATGCCCAGCCCTACCCCCTGAGCCCTTGCTCAGCTCCCCACAGTCTGTATGATGCCCAGCTCCCCTGAGCCCTTGCTCAGCTCCCCACAGTCTGTATGATGCCCAGCTCCCCTGAGCCCCTGTTCACCTCCCCACAGTCTGTATGATGCCCAGCTCCCCTGAGCCCCTGCTCAGCTCCCCACAGTCTGTATGATGCCCAGCTCCCCTGAGCCCCTGTTCACCTCCCCACAGTCTGTATGATGCCCAACCCCCACCCCGAGGACCTGCTTACCCCAGCTTGAAGAAGTCTGTTCCCTGGACTTGATAGAACTCCTCAGGGAGCCATCCTAGAGCTGCTGGAAGTCAGCTGCCCCTTGGGCATGGATTCTGACAGTAGCCAAGGCATGTAGGGTGAGCCTGGCTGGAATGCCAGACATTGTGGGAGCCAGACTTAAGCCTCGGGGTCACCTGACCTCCTGCCCCTGTGGCCAGAGAAGCATAGTGACAGTTCGCAGCCATGTCTAGGGACAGGTGATCTTAGCATGGAGCACAAGACACCCACTTATTCTCCAAGTATATGTCACTCCAGAGATACACTGGGGAAAATGAGGCCTTGGACCTAAATGATTGGCTCAAGGTCAAGTAGCTAGCAGGAATAGAATGTGGTCTGCTTATTGATCAAAGGCGAGCTGGGCAGATGGGGACAGTAGGTGTCTCCCACAACCAGGGACACATCATCCAGTGTTTCCTAGGCAAATCCGTGCACTAACTTAGTCAGCCTGAGCCTTCTATTTCAAGATCAGAGCATAGCTCAGTGCACAGTGCTTGCCTAGCATGCATGAGGCCCTGCACCCTGCCCCCAGCACTGAAAAGATAGAAAGAGATAAATACCTCCATGTCTGAAGCAGGAGTCAAAACTATGGCAAGACCTACAATAGACCCAAAGTAGGAGGTGGTGTGGGGGGAAGCCTTGTGCTCAGGTATGGACCTAACTGTCATGTTCCAGGGTCAAAGGATCAGGGGACAGAGGTAGGGGATAGACAGGAGAGGCAGGAGTAGGATCCAGGTCAAAGGACTGTAAGCAGAGGCAGAGGGAAGGAGATGGAAACATGAGGGAATGTGCAGTACTGTAGAATGTTAGCTAAGTATCTGCTGCATTTGTTTATGCTGTGGAGCATTTGTTTTAATGATGCAACCATGTGCTGTGTTCTCTTATGCTGCATTTGTTTAACTCTGAGAAGCTGTGTTACTGTGCCTGTCTGAAACACCTAATTAGTCTAATAAGAACTGAATGACCAATAGCAAGGCAGGAGAGGGATAGGTGGACTGGCAGGCAGAGAGAATAGGTAGGAGGAGAAATCTGGGAGGGGAAGGATTGAGGAGTGAGAGGAGGATGACTCCAGGGGCTGGCCACCCAGCCACACAGCCAGACACGGAATAAGAAGGAGAAAAGGATGTGTAGAAATAGAGAAAGGTAAAAGTCCAGAGGCAAAGAGTAGATGGGATAATTTCAGTTAAGAAAAGCTGGCTAGAAACAAGCCAAGCTAAGGCCAGGCATTCAAGAGAAAGAATAAGACTCAAGTGATTCATTACGGAGCTGGGTGGCAGGCCTCAAAAGAGTCAGAGTTAAAAGACAACCAACTACAGCACAGGGCTGGGGACAGGGACGTAAGGCAGGGCACAGGGTTGATGATAGGGATATGAGGCAGGGCCCAGGGCTGGGGACAGGGACATGAGGCAGGGCCCAGGGCTGGGAACAGGGACATGAAGCAGAGCTGGGGGACAGGGACATGAGACAGGGCCCAGGGCTGGGGACAGGGACATGAGACAGGGCCCAGGGCTGGGGACAGGGACATGAGGCAGAGCTGGGGGGCAGGGACATGAGGCAGGCGCAGGTGCAGAGACCAGCGTCTCCTGTGGCCTCCAGAAGCTCACAGTCCAGGAAGCTCAGCTCATGCTGGACACTGGCACTCAGCTGGCAGCTTGGTGCCTATCTTTCCCTAAACCTCCAGGGTACCTGAGAAAGAAGCCAGAATGAAGACACAGAAGCTTAGGTGAGCCAGACAAAGCTTCTGGAGTAAGAGGGAGACTGGGCTGCTAGGAAGGTCAGGGGCATGTGGGGCACAGCCCCCCAAATTCACTCTACCACACCTGTTCTTTGACGTGCATGGTAGTGCCCATGGCCCAGTGTAAACACACCTTCCAAGGACAGGTGTGAACAAGAATCCAGCTTGGGTGAGCTGCGGTGAGCCAGCTCTGAACCACAGCTGCTTTTCTCTGGTCCCCTCGTCGGCTTCCCTTCCTGGCATCCTATCCGGTCACCTGAGCTATACTCTGATCCATGAGGGTCTCCTAGTCCCTCATCACTTTTCATGCTATGACGCAGCTTTATTTCTAACATTTGAAATTAGGAGATTTTTATATAATTCCAAACCCATGGCTTCTTGGAAGACAGAAATACTAGTTTGTCTACCCACCCCTCAGTAAGGGGTGACCAGAGCCAAGAGGCAGCTGCCGGTGTGAATGGCTGTTTCTCTAGGCACTACCGTCCCTGCCCTCTCTGTTGTCTTGCCAATATGGAGATGGAGTATCTGTTGTTACTCTCTTTGTCTTAGCAAAATACTTCTTGGGGTGTGAGTATGAAACATGAGAACATAACAGACTCTGGAGGGTGCGTTCTAAGACAAAATTGTTTGGTTTGTTTTTGTTAAGCAAGGTCCAGCCCAGCATGGGGCTGAGACTTGCCTGAAAATCCTTCAGCCTTCTAAGTGCTAGGGTTACAGGCACATGCCATCATGCCCAGCTAGGAAAAAGTGTTTATTCCTAGCCCACCTGGGCTTTGGGCTAACATCTGGTCTGTGTATAAACATGTCAGCACACACCCAAGCCACCCACGTTGCTGGCTGTCAGATGTACACAGAGATGGCATTTTGCAAAGGCAAACATTGTAGGCAGAGTGAGTGCCCATCATGGTCCCTGCCCTCCAGAAGAGTCTCTGCTAAGACGATCACTAGCAACGGGCCCTGGTCTCTCAGCTGAGGTCAGGCTTCCAGATACAGGGCACACGTCCTCGGACACTATCCACACACGTACCACAAAAGAACCCTCAAGACAGCACAACTATTCATTTCTTTAATCTTTTGGTAGGGTCTCGTGTAACCCAGGCTGCCCTCAAACTTGCCGAACTTATAATCCTCCCGTCTCCATCTACTGAATGTTAGGATTACCTCCACATCTAGTCTTAGTTGTCACTGGGGATCCAACGTGCACTGGAGAGGTGGGAGAGGGGGTTGCCAGTGTGTCTGGCCTACAGAGTGAGATTTTATCTCAAATAAAATAAAACAAAAATTTTAAGTACCACAGGGGCTGGGGAGATGGGTTCAGACAATAATGTCTTGTCATGAACATGAGGAACTGAGTTTGGGTCCCCGGTACTCCTTCTGGGCAGCCCTCCTTCTCACATCCCTGTCCCAGGTCACAGCAACAAGGTAACACCCAGATCCTGCGTGGGAATTCCCTTTAAGGGTGCGGGGCCCCTTTAAGGCCATGAGGCATCTACTAGCCTGGATGACTCTCTGAAGCTGGTGGATGAACAGGCGAACCCTTCCTCTGACTGTGCTCACATCTGCACATCCTCGTCCCTGTCCACTCACCTCTCCTCCCTCCTGGACGTGGACAGCTGTCCGCCCACCTGTCTGTTTCCTCTCCTTCCACACAGACATCTGGCTTCCCTCTCCTCGCCTCTTCTCCACTCCCTCCTGCCATCAAGTTCTCCTTGATAGTCTTTGGAGAAAAATCACAGGGGATGGCACCACCCCAGCGGGCAGTGGCTAGGTGACAGGCCCTGGTCTCCCTCAACCAGCAACCAGAAAGGTCCTGCAGACAGACTCCAGGGCCTTGGGGCCAAATGTCAGGACTTCACAACAACCCACAGGACCCCAGCCTCAGAGGTCTTCCTCTCCGCTGTTGCTCAATCAGAGTGCTTGCCTAGCGTGCACTAGGGTTTCAGCTCCAGCCCCGTAAGAGGTGAGGGAGGGAGGAAATAAGTTGTCTGTCTTCCACTGTTGCCCCAAGTTCACTCATTCTTCGTGGTGACAGCAAGTGCTGTCACATCCTGCCACCCCCCCTGCATGCTCCCTCTCTGTGCCCCCACCCTTCCCTGTGGAACGCCACTCTTTTCCTCTCCCGGGACCTTTGCCCTCACTAGTAGCCTGCTTACCAGGCGCTCTTTGACCTCAGCTCTGCACAGTCCACTTGACTGAACTAGAGTCGCCATCCACGGAAATGCACCTCTGATCCCATCCATGAGAGCATTTCCAAAGAGCTAAAATGAGAAGGGAAGACCCACTCTAAAGTTGCTCCCTTCTGTGGGCTGGAGTCTGCTCTAAATAAAAAGGAGAAAGCCAGAGCCAGTGATATGGTTCAGCAGATAAAGGGGCTTGCAGCCAGTCTTGATGATATATATGAGTTCTGTCCCTCAAACCCAAATGCTGGAAGGAGACCCTTGACTCCCGCCCTCCACAAGCATGTCGTGGTGTCCACATGCTCCATGCTGCACCCCTGACAATAAATCAATATTTTAAAGTAAAGAGAAAGCAATCTGTGCAGCAGCGCATGTGTGCATTTATGTGTGTGCACACACACAGACATTATATGCTTCTCAACTGTGGGCGCTATTACACTCCTGCTGACACCTTGCCTTCCCACCATAATGGGCTGCTCTAGTGAACTGAGCCAAAATAGAATCTTTCCTTCAGCCAATTTTGCCATGGATCTTGTCACAGCAGCAAGAAATTTAATACAACAATGTCTGTCCTTCAGGTCTCAGCTCAAACTTCATGTTCCCAAATAAACAGTTTAGAGTTGCCACTGTCACTTCCAGCCGTCCCCCTCTGCTGGGAGATGCTGTTCAGAACAACACTGAAGCCATCTTCAGGAGACCAGTTGTGTCTGCTCACAACGGTCACTACTGGGCTACTGGGCATGTGGGCGGTCGATCCCTCACGGAAGGGAGGGGGAGAGTCAGCGCTCCTCCCAGTCAGTTGTATGCAATCCTGTCCCAACTGCAAGGCCTCTTGGTCTTAGAGAGGGACTAGAGCACACGGGCTAAGGAAGGCAAGGTCAGGGGCACTATCTATGCGGTCACTGGGAGCCATCAGCCACACCAGGTGCAGACCCTCCAGCATGGCTGCTCTGTAAATAAGCTTGATGAATTAATTGTTTCTGCAGAGCAAACTCTAGTGAACTCAAACTTTGTTTGCCAGTAGGACTTTAGAAGGAGGAGGTAGAAAATTCCTCCAATAGTCTCTCAGAACGGAAAGTACCAGGAGAGCAGGGGCGACACCTCAGTTGTTCATCACCATGTACCCAGCGCCTAGCACATTGCTGGTGCAGCGTCAGCTAGAGGAGGGATATTTCTCAATGGCTGGTAAGTAGATAGATGGGTAAATGTAGGTGAATGGGTAGGTGGACAGAACGTGGGTGTGAACTGATGGAGACAAATGGAAGGTGGGAACACAAACTGATGGGTGAGTGAATGTGAGGGATAGATGGATAGATAGATGGATGGAAGGTGGATGATGAAGAGGGATGGGTGGATGATGAACAGGGGTGGATGATGGATGATGAAGAGGGATGGATAGATGGATGGATGATGAAGATGAGTGGATGAGAGGGTAGATAACGAGAGGGATGAGCTAGATAGAAGGATGCTTGGATAATACGTGTGGATAGATATATGGCTATATGCAAGGGCAGGTTAGATAGGTCAAAAAATGATAGAAGGAATATAGAAAAACAGAAGCGAGTGACAGGTGGACAGATGGATGGACAGATGGGATCGCCCCTTGCCCCGCCTCCAGGACAGCCCTAGAGAGATGGCAAGCACAGAACTCTTACCTCTAGCAGGTTGAAGGTCCAGCCAGCAGCATTAACAATGAGATTTACCATTGCAGAACAAGGGAGGAAAGAGCTGGAACAGAGGAGGAGGGTCCTCTCCAGGTTGCCTCCCAGGCTGACAGATGCTAAGGGAATAGGGAGTGTCCTGGGAACTAGAAAGAGAGGCTACACCCAGTGTGTCCTGCCCCAGGAGAGGATTGGGCATCATGTCCTCCACCCAGTGAAGGCTGAGGGGGTGCTAGAGCACCCTCTCTTCCCAGGATGACTGAGGTGGTTCAGGGATCTCAGCTGAAAAGACTCCTGTGGGTCCCCACTGCCCTGTGGAGACCAACAAAGCCCTTGTGCAGCAGGGGAGGGGCTTCCGCTAGACTCCAGCCCTCTACTTTTTGAGAAAGGTTCTCACCAAGTTGTCCAGGCTGGCCCTGAACATGCTCTGTGTCACCCAGGCAAAGGAAAAAGTATCCTTAGGCCCTGTGTTCTTGGAGATTGGAGCTCTGGTGTCCCCAGGCCTTGTGGCCCCAGGTGAGCCGTACTTGAGTGGAAGGTGACATCAGAATAAGACATTTCCAGGTATCCATCTGGAACTGTTGACAAGGATGTCCTTGGGGAGGGACTCCCGAAGGTCACGTTTCAGGGGGTCATCATCTCCAGTAGCTGCAAGCTGTGGCTCCACACGAAGGAGCCCACTGGGACAGAGGGGCAACAACAGACACACAGTTAGCCACTGGCCAAGATTCAGCTCTGGCTAGCCACACCCCATGCTAGGGCTGCTCAGGACCCCGCAGTCTGAAGTTAACAGGAGAAGGACCCAGCCTGGATGTGGAATTCTTAGGAGTTTCCCTGATGGCTAAAGAAAAAAGCGAAGTGGGCACCTTGGCTTCACTTGGCTTGAAAGTCAGACCCAAGTCTGAACCCCAGCTCAGTTCTATGGATGTAAGCTGTGTTACCTCAAGATGGTGCTACAGCCTCTCTGTGCCTCACCCGTGAAATGGGGAATATCAAGCTGTATTTCAAATCCTAATTCTACCCAGAGCCTTTGAAAACATACCTGTATACATGGATGTGCATGTATGTGGAAGCTGGAGGACAGCTGCAGATGTTTCTTGGGCACCATGCACATTGTTTTGGGGCAAGGTTTCTCGCTTTTCTCTGGAGCTTGCTGACTCGTCTAGGCTGGCTAGCCAGCGAGTGAACTTGAGAGATCCACCCATGTCCTGCCCCCCAGCACTGGATTGCAAAAGGATGCTAACATACCCTCTGTATGTGGGCTCTGGAGATCAAGTCACGCCCTCGCATTTATTCAGCAGGCACTTTACTGGCTGAGTCTCCCCCAGGCCTTACTTCTGTTACTTTTGAGTGCATTGGAGACAGCTCACTCTAGCTCTGAGCCTCAGCTTCCTCATCTGTGGAATGAAGCGAAGTTTCTCGAAAGGCTATTGACAAAGGTCAATCAAGGTCAGAGAGGGAACCGGAGCGTGTAATTATCTCAGAGCAGACAAGAGGGTGATGGGTGGTCCATGATGGAGACCCTGCCACGGTCATGAGGGGTAAGGTGAAATGGGTGTGTGAGCTGCTGCAGGAAATGCTCTTGTATACTGTGAAGATTTGTCACTCGTATTGGTTTAAATAAAACCCTGATTGACCAGTAACCAGGCAGGAAGTACAGGTGGGGCGACCAGAGTAAGAGAATTCTGGGAAGAGGAAAGGCACAGAGGAAGCAAGATGAGAATGCTGCACTGAGAAAAGGTACCAAGCCACGTGGCTAAACATAGACAAGAATTATGGGTTAATTTAAGTTGTAAGAGCTAGTTAATAATAAGCCCGAGTTAATAGGCCAACCAGTTTATAATTACTATAAGCTTCTGTGTGTTTTGTTGAGACTGAACAGCAGAAGACTGGGCAGGACAGAAACTCCATTTACAGTGAGTAGGGAGAACATGGAATATTGCCCAGTGGAAACCCTGGCATAAGACAATGTTAACTCCCAGAAGGCACAGCTAGAAGCTCCTCAAACATCTGGCCATGGAACAGGGCTGACTTTGGGGGGCAGGGCACCTATTTATCCCACTGGGCAGCAGACAGCCTGGTACCTACAGCCCCTGGCTCATCCCTTGGAAGCTTAGCAGGCTATGACTCCAGACAAAGTTCTTGCATCACCTGCTTCCTCATTCCCAAGCCTGACACAGGGCTACATCTTCTGACGACCATAGAAGGTCATTTGGAACATATGACTGGTTTGCTGTTTTGTTTTGTTTTTCAGTGTGGAAGATAGAGCCAAAGGCCTCATTGTACCTGGAAGGTTCTGCTACTGAACCATTTCCCTGGCCCTGCATCTACTTCAAATGAATACACCATTTGCATAGGTGGTTTAGCTTCAGGAAAGCATCAAGTCACCTCAGGCAGACGTGTAAACAGGTCACTTTGGGTTATTGGTACTAATGGCTCAAAACCAGAAACAGCTTCCGGCCCTCAGTGGAGACTGTTATTCTTTGTAAAGATATGGTGGTGGGGAACTGGTCCCACAAGAGGTGGCAGTCCCACAAGGGGCCCGCAGCAGGTCCCCAGAGGCCTCGATGGGGCAGCGGTGGGTGCCCCAGGCCTCAGTGGGGGAAGACCTTGGCAGAAGACTGCAGCAGGTGAGAGACAGACAGATACGCCATGCAGAGAGAGAGGTATAGAGTTTATTTAGTGGGTTATGAAGGAAAAGGGAAGAGGGAAGGGAAGAGAGAGAGCTCACAGGCTAGAGGGGGGTTGGGAGTGGGTGGGGTTTGTTTCTTAAAGGGACAGGGTACCCAGGTGACAGGCCAGGCCTTTCATACAATAGGCAAGTGGTTTAGCACTGCGCCCCAGCCCCGCCCAAATGCCACCCCAGCTCCACCCCAATGCCACCCCAGCCCCACCCCAGCTCCACCCCAATGCCACCCCAGCTCCACCCCAGTCCCAGGCTTTATTCTTTGGAGCCAAAGTTCAAACTGGCTTGGAACTCATGATTCTTCTGCCTCATGACCTCTAGTGCAAGAGTTACAGACTTGTATCATCATAACTAGCCAGTTGCTACTGGGTTTGTGATTTTGATTTGTCAGCTGAACTTATTTTTCATATTCACATGTAAGTTCATGAACCATGTTCAGTGTCCCCCGATTTAAAGGGAGCTCACTGATCTCCATAGGGACCCGAGATTTACAGCCACCATCTCTGTCTTGGCGGTTCTCCCTTCTTCGGACCAGGCTGGCCCTGGGTGTCTCTGCACAGAACTGCTGTGAACCTGGCCAGAGTGAGCAGACCTCAGTTCAAGAAAACTGAGGACCTGAGAGAAGGGACTTTTCTCTAGTTATTCATGGGCAGGATGAGGGTTGGAGCTGCCATGTGGGGGAAAACAATGGGCCAATTGTCTAGTATGACTTGGGAAGTAGAGGGTGAGGGAACGCATAACCACACTGCCCTACCCCAAGAGACACGTGGAACAGCCCCATCCATAACACCCCACACTGCCCTATCACCCTGGGTGGACTGCTTGGTTGACTGTGTGTGCTGTACCTGGGCAAACACCTCACTGGGGCACCTCATCAGAGTCAGGTAGGCATTGATACTGAGCTCTATGTCCTCCTCGGGAGCTTGGTACAGGTGTGAAAGCCCTGACTTCTGGCTTGGGAAAGATATCCATCATTCAGCAGCTCCTCCCCCCCACAGTATCCTTGTTCCTACAGTTGACTCTGTGACCCCACTAGCTTCCTTCATGTCCCTACCATAAGCAATTTCCCCAGCACACTGTCACCTGTGTTTCAATACATACCAATATATAACAGACATACATGGATTCATTCCAATAAAGATTTATTTACAAAACAACATAAATATGAAATATAAATGTCTTAGTGCTCCTAGGCCCAGTCCTCAGGAAGCTACCTCCAGACTCTGTGACTTTCCATTAACCCCTTCCGACTTCCCTGTTTGTGTGCAGCCATCTGGTCACCCATTTGTAGCGTGTATCAGGTAGAACAGATGACATCATGAATATGACTGACCCAGTCCCCATGCACCCGACTGCTGTGTCTTCAGCAAGAGCAACAAGTGCTCCTAATTTCTGAGACCTCTCTCCAGCCCTCTCTGCCTTACTTTTTTTTAAAGATTTTTTTATTTTATTTATGTGTGTTTCCTTGCATGAGTTTATGTGCAGCATGGTGGCCGGATTCCCTGGAACTGGAGCGGCAGGAGGTGTTGAGTCATTGCATGGGTGCCAGGAACTAAGCCCAGGTCCCCTGCAGGGCAGCAGAGCCATTTCTCCAGTTTCTTCAGCTTATTTTTAAAAAGATTTACATATTTTTTATTTGAGGTCTCCACGGAGCCTGGAGCTCAGCAGCTCAGTTGGACTCCATGGATTCTCCCATCTTTGCCCCCTCCCAGAGTTGGTATTGCAGGCATGGCTCACCATGCCCAGCTTCTGTGTGGTGCTAGGGCTGAAACTCAGGTCTCCATGCTTGTGTGGTGGGCACTTTACTAACTGCACCGCCACCCAGCCATCTTCTCTCCCTGTAAGGCTCTACATACAGTTACAGATTTAGGCCTGAGGACATCGGGAAGAAAAAGTAGTAGATGAGGCTAATACGTGCTATCAGGTCAGAACCAGACCATGCAGAACTCAGTGGTTTATGGGTAAGGACCGGACACTGACTGAGTGACAGACAGGCAGGCAACCTTTCCCTGTAACAACACAGACAATAACTATCTTGGGTCTAGCAACTTCTCTTGCAAAGATTCCATCCAGCAGTTGGAGCACCAACGTAGCCACAGATAGCCCATAGCAATCTGTATAAAGTTTTATTTACAAGAGCAGATAGCAGGCCAGAAGGTGGCCCACAGAGTCTGCCAGGGTTGGTACATGTGTGTCTGAGTCACGTGGCAGTATCAGAAATTACACACTTATTTGTGGGTTTATTTGGTGAATAATAGCTTCCCACACTAAACACAGTTCTAGAGGACAGAGGCAAACTACCTGCTCATACTGTCGCCTAGGCAGGCACCCAGCACACGCGAGCTGCTCAGTAAACGGGTAATGATTTCAAAGGAAGAGGTGAATCGACAGCCTAGATCAAGTCCACCCATTGCCCAACTGCAGCCAGAGTTAAAATCACAAAAACTCAAATCTGCAGAGCAAGGGATCCTCCAGAAGGCCTGGATAGCCACCAGCCAGATCACAGAGACGCCCCTCAGAGATGCACAGGTGTTCAACAGGGGTGAGACCTGCTGCCGCCAGACCAGCACTTCATGGCCTTCAGCACAAGCTGAGGCTGCAAAATCATGGCAGTGAGGTGGACTGTGAGGCCGGAAGGGTCCCCCGCCCCACCCACTTGTCCAAAGATGACCTGCCAGGTAGGACCTCAATCTAGTCTTGAGACACTAGCTGTGCTCACCTGACCAGCGTTCACAGGCTCTGGGAAGCTGCAGTTCACACCTAAAGCCTCGTCCAGAATCTTCACAAGGGAGCCAACTCCAGGTAGCTGTTGGCAGTGCCTGTCCAGAGTGGCACAGAGGTTGTGTGCCAGAGCTGAGATGCCAAGGAAGGCACCTGGGCTGGCCCCTGGAGATGGCAGCAGTGGCTAGGGATGCAGACAGCTGCCCACTCCCACCAAAAAGGCTGGTAAGTGACATACAAAGGACCCTCTGTCCCCCTCTGTCCCCTTCCCTCTGCCCGCCCTGTCCCTCAACCCTAGTCAGCCCTGAGCTTCCCAACCTCCTGCTGTGGATAAGGGACTCCAGGGATTTGTTTCTAGAGAGGCCCCAGGAGTCCCTGCTGTACCCAGGGTAGAGATCTACACTCTCAGGCTAAAGAGGGGTAGGTACATTGATGTTAATGTCTAGGGCATTTGGGGGTATCATAATAGGAGGTCTAGGGGTGTAGCTGTGTGGCATAGCACCAGTATAACATGTGCAAGGTCCTTGATGTCCAACATCAGAAAAAATATTAGTGAAATTGTCACTGCTGGATGTGGTGCCTGTAGTTGTCGCAGAAGGGAGGCTGAGTCAGGCAAGGCAGGGGTTCAAAACCAGCCTAGACCACATTGTCACATGCTCTTTCAAAAGAGATGAAGCAAAGCAACAGCAAGAACAACAGCAGCTAGTGAGGTAGGAGGGTGCTGCTGCCATGATCCAAGACCAGCAGCCCTGCTAGATGGCCTCTCGTGGGTAAGACAGCCCATGACAGTTACCTGATCTCAACCTGCACCAGTAGCTCTGGGATGAATGACTGATTCAAGCCTCCAGCTCGAGTGAGCAAGGTGAGGGTCCCTAGACAGCAGTCGAGTGGAGAACCTGGGCACAGGGTCAGGCCACCTTACATGTGGCAGAACAGCTCCCACTCTCTCACCTGGGCAAGAAATGAGCCCAAGTTGTCTCTGCACCAAGTGGATCTCATGAGTCAGCCACCCGGACAACAGCTGCACCCCTCCAACAGGGGAGCAATACCAGGGAGAAGTCCTGTTCCAGAGACCGTGGCTCCCCAAATGCAGACCTGTGGACTCAGAGAGGCACCCCTGCAGGACTGGGCTGGGGACTGGAATCAGCTCAGGGTGCCACAAAGACAACCGGTCCACTGGTTCTGTCAGAAGGTTTCGATGTAATTTCTCCAAATGCAAGCTTGAGTCTCTTGATTCTTGGACTAGTCTATCCAACGTCTTGAAAGCTGCCTATGAATCTACTCATGGGCTCCCACCCCTAATGTGCCTTGCAGTGCACACGGCCAGACTCTACCTCATGCCCTGCGCTCACTGCGCACCAGCCCCTGCTATCACCCTCTCCCACGCGCTCTCTTATCACAGGGAGGCTAACGACCTGCCTCACATTGCCCAGCCTGTAGGGATGAAGCCCTGCCTTAACCCTGGCCCTGGGCTCCCAGGTTCAGCTCTTGCTGTTTCTCAAGACAGCTCTGGGCTCAGTCCTGAAAAAAATGAAACACGTCCTGGGCCCTGCATCCAAATGTTAGCCTGAGACCACCCAGTCCTGACAGAATGGGGAAAGAGCATGGTGGCCTCTGTTCTGCTGTGGATGCAAGATCGCCCACTGGTCCACAGAGATGCAAGGTACACATGGGGCCCACCAGTGTACCTCTCTACCAGCAGATGTTTTGGAATTTCAGCACTTGTGTCTCTGTGTGTGTGTGTGTGTGCATGTAAAAGAGAGAGAATATGTATATGAAATTTGTATGCGTGAATATTTGTGTGTATATATCTCTGTGTTAATGTGTGTTATGTGTTTATGTGAATGTGCATAAGTGCATATAAAGGCGTATGTGTATGAATGTGTGCGTGCAAATGTCTCTGTATGTATGTGCAAAAATGCCTCTGTGTGTATGTATATGCATGCGTGAGTGCATCTCAGGGTATGAGAATCCTGATACATGCATCTCAGGGTGTGCCTTCTGTGAAAATGAACAAGCACACACACACACACACACACACACACACACACACACACACACACACACATATATATATTCCAAAGCATTCTGGGTTTATGTTTGCTTGTTTGTTTTTGTTTGTTTGTTTGTTTTTTTGTCAAAATCAAAGGGGCCTCCATGTTGCCTCGCTGTGGTGAGTAAGTAGGGCTGGGTGCAGAAGAGGCTGCAGAGGTGGCAGAGGGAGAAGACACCTGCCCCGCAGGCCTGGCAAGTGAACTGATTCCTGGACCCCAGGGTGGAAGGAGAGAACTGTCCAGAGCTGTCTTCCAGCATCTGCATGCGCACTTCACCTGCACAAGAACAGTCAGATAATTTTTTAAAAGTAAAAATTTACATGATGGTAAACTAAATTTTTAAAATGAGAAATACAGAGAAACGCCAGACAGCATTCACGCTATCTTAAAGGAGAAAGAAAAGCTGTTTGTCACGGCCTTGACCAAGCCCCCAGCAGCTGCGCTGCCAGGCTCTCCTCAGGCTATCTCCTGATCAGCAGCACAGTCCCGCCCTGCCGTACAGAGAGCAAAACTCAGCCCACGCTGGTAAAGATCCATGTCTATGCCACAGCAACCACATCATGCAAAGATCAGATGCTTGAGGGGAGGGGAAGGGGGGGAAGAGAAAAGGGAGGGAGGACAGGCAAGGTTATTTTCAGTTGGGCAGCCTTGCCCAGGCCCACTTGGTGCAGGCATCCTTGGACGGTACTCATGAACAGAACCAACACAGCCTGTGGAACCAAGGGTCAAGGGTTAAGGGGTTGGGTGCTCCCTGGATACCCCTGAATAGGCAACCACATCCAACAAGCTGCCAAGGCTCAGAGATACAGTCACCCTCATCAGTGTTGGGTACTCCTGAAACTCTGGGGGACTCTGGCTGGCTAGCATCAGCCACTGAGTGTTGCCACATTGCTGGCTGCCGGTGCCCCCATCTGTTCCTAGCCTGGGGGAGTGGGATGAGACTCCCTCAGAGGGGCCCCTACCCCCAGGCAAATGAGGATGCAGACAGAGCAAGATTCCCAGTGTGGACGAGCTGCCTGCCTGGGAACCTGAGAGGGGAGTGATCTTCTGCTCGTTAATGGGAATTGTCGACTAGTTTCATAGGGATTCCCAACTGCAGCACTCCCAAATAAATCTGTTTATAAAAGCAGTCACTCTGATTTTGTAAATTATGTGCATGTGAGTGTGCCGGTGTCTGTGCATGTCATATGTGATGACCAGAAGATCCTCTGAAACTAGAACTAGTTGGGAACCACCCTGTGCAGGTTCTGGGAACTGAACCCGGGTCTTCTGCAAAGTGCTCCTAACCACTAAGCTATCTCTCCAGCTCTACAGGGGCCCTAGAATTGCTTTACACACAGCATGTCATTTCTCACCACAAGCCTGAGTTAAAGATAGGTTCATCCTCAGTTCCCATACCAAAAACCCATCTCAGAAAGCGGAGCCAGCCCCACATCAACCCTGGTGGGAGTGAGATTCACCTGGCAGTGCAGCACTTGAGAGGAAGAGAAATGATTCTCAGAGCAAGCTAGCTCTCCAGACTAGCCTGCATCTGTGAGTTCCGGGTTGCCTATATGAACATGCACTCGCACACATGCCAGCTTGTACCTGCACACATGCAAACCCACACTTGCACACATGCAAACCTGCACCTTCACACATGCAAACCCACACCCACACACATGCAGGCCCACACCTGCACACATACAAACACATACCCACACACATGCAAACCTGCACCTTCACACATGCAAACATGTGCCTGCCATTAGCCTTTTCTTGCTGCACCTGTTCAATGTGAATGTGTATTTCTTCTGTGCACCTGGACCACTTTGCTAACCTCCTGGCCTTTGTCGTGCCCTCAGACAGCCCGAGTTCACACTTCTGTCTCTGCTCTGAGGAGAGAGGAAGGTGCAATCTTCCTCCAATGGTGAGAAGGTCCATGGAATGCCCCTTGTGGTTCTTGTTTTGGTCAGAAGTTACAAAGGGATTGAACTTCATTTTGACAGCTGCAATCCAGTGACAGCCACCAAAAAAAGCTAGTTCAAATATTTAGTAAGGAATAATCTCCAATTTGTAAATTTGTTATTATATTACTTGTTTGTTTCTTAATTTTTACTTTTTGGAGACAAGGTCTGGCCTGGAACTCCTACATAGAAAGACAATGCTGACCTCGGATTCAGAGGTCCACCTGCTTCTGCACTAGAACAAAGGCCTGTGCCATCATGCCCTGCGTTACTTTCTTTGTTTCCTTGGATTCAGCCTAACTCTTCAGCCCTGGCTGGCCTTACACTTACCACCCTCCTTCCTCAGCCTCTCAGGTGCACCTCTGTGCCTACCTTTCCGGCACACTGGCTTTTGTGTGCATGCTGTGCTTTTTGGAATTTGGTTTTATTTCTATGGTACTAAGGATGGAACACAAGGCCTTGGGCATACAAGACAAACCCTCTGAGCTGTGTCTGCAGCCCTTGAACTTCTTCCTATCAACAGTGATGGCAGGAAAACATGGTCACCTGATGCCCAGTCACGGAGGGTCCAAACACTCCAACAGACAAAGGGCTGCCTCCAAAGCGTACCCCTGATTCTTCCAGCTGCTTAGTTTGGGGGAAGTGACTTCATTCCTCCCATCTCAGCCTTCCTTTAGTCCCAGGTCTCTGCAGCAACCTAAGCCCGAGGCCATTAGAGAAGCATGCCCAAAGGAATCGTGCTAGGCCCACCCTGCTGCCTGCTGAGCAATGGGGCTGCCAAGGCAGGGATGAGGCTCCACCTTGAGGGATCGCTGGTGTGGGAGGCCTCACTGCTTGACTGTGACCGAGCCCAACTTGGTCTCAGAAAAACACAGGGTATACCCAGCACGGTGTCAGATGCTGTACTCTCAGCACATGGAAGGCACAGATGGGGTCATCATAAGTCCCAGACATCCTGGGCTACAGAATGAGACCCTGTCTCAAAAACATAGAGAGCACAAAGCAGGCTCCTTGAGGCCAGTGTGTCCACCCCAGAATGCAGGGAGCCTTCGTGGGATGGGCCTTCTCCAATCTCACCCTGTCTTCACTTCCACTGGTACTACTCACAAGCAGACTGGCTGCCACTGCTAGGCTGGCCCTCACTCTGGTGGCCACAGAGCTTCTGTCACACACCATGCTATCTGGAGACCTCAGAATCCTGGCTCTGATTCTCCCTCTCTGAAGCCTTGCTGCAGGATTTAGGAACACCTAACTATCCGCAGCCACCACTAGCATATAAATAAGCCCGTGTTATGTATCAGTCTCTGGGGCATTTGGCTGACATGTAACTCTGTGTTGGTGTTCTTACGTAGCATGTGTGGGATCCTGGGTTCTGTCTGTAGCTCCACCAAAAAGGAGAAAGGAAAGAAAAACAAACAAACCCACTTGACTCTATAGCATTTAATAAATGTGCATAGCTTGAGTTTCCTTCCAGAACACGTGCACCCTTCTCTCTCAGCCACCCCAACAAGCATATTCCTATCCCCTGGCACCGGGGTGAAAGCTCTGACCCGGCCATTCCCACTGCTGCCCCTCCATCATCAACACCTGCCCCCCCCACCCCCCCTACACACACACATGCCAGGAGTTTGCGCTCTACGGGCCACCAAGTCTTGGCTTTGTTTCAGGACTGAAAACAAACCTTGTCTGGGGCCTCTGGCCTTAGCAAGGGGCTGAGACTTTGTAGTCTCCTGGCAACACAGGGAGGGTTTGGTCCTCCCAAGGGGGCTGGAGATCTGTGGCTGTGGGCTAGTGCATCCCTGGAAAGCCTAACAACTTATCTTTTGGCCCAAGGGACCTCCTAGGGAAGATGGGGCCTCGGACACAGGCACTGCTGGCTGCCTCAGGGAGACCCAGGCCCATAGTGCACCTTGCCTCAAGTCATGGGACCGGCTTAATGGACAGCCTGGGGTCACGGAGTGCTCTGGGGCTGGACAGGAGGAGCTGGTCTGTCCTGTAGCTTCACAAGTGAGATAAGAACAGTGTCGTGGTTCTCAGCTTGGACAACCGTGTGCCCAAGAGATAGCAATCTGGTTGTCATGGCTACAGGCAGGGAAGATGCTGGCATCCAGCTGGTGGAGACCAGGAGTGCTGCTTCTGTTTACCACAATGAACAGGGCGCCCCTCCCCCACGGCAAATGTGGAAACAGACTGCCTAGGTGAACCGCCCAGCTCTGTTACTTCCTGGCTAGGTGGCTGTGAGGAGAGTCCCCAAATTCTGCAAGCCAGTTTCCTCACTTGTACAATGGGCACAGAGACAAGAACGTTCCTGGGGGCTGAATTAGATAACATGGAGGAGAAGGTCCTTAGCACAGAGCGAATGCTTGGGTGTGCTGGTGAAGCTGGGCAACAAGGGGAGATTATGCGGAAGCTGCTCAGGCTCTGAGTCTGCCCTGGGACTGGAAAAACTTACCTCAAAGCTGGTGGGCTGAGCCGCACACAGCTTCCTCACTAGCGCAGCTGCCGAGGCCACTAAAGCTCTGGACGGTTTCTCTTCCCACTCGTACTTGAGGCTGCTGCGACTCAATCTCTGTAGTCTGTGTCTGGGACGGCAAGACCCTTAGAGTCAGAAGGGCCTGGGAGCTGTCCCTCAAATTCTACAAATGAGCCCTCCAGCATGCTCCAGCCATGCGGTTAGAGAAGCAGGTACAAAGTCATAGCAGATATTATGGTATTACCCAGGTACCCATTACCAGGGCATGGGCAGGTCAGCAGGTGGGGGATATGCAGCGCTGCCAGCAAAGACAGGAAGTAACCTAGGCACCTGTCTGTCAGATGGAGTACACTGGATCAGCCCCAACAGTGCACAGCAAAGGTGATCCTTCTCTGTGAGGCCTGGGGACGTGGCTCAGTTTGGGAACTGCTGGCCTAGTATGCACCAGGCCCTGGGTACAACACCCTGGCACTGGATAAACCAAACACAGCGGCGCGCGAGTCTGTAACCCAGCACACAGGAGGGAAAAGCTCCTGGCCTCTTGGCCCCCTAGGGGCCAGGACTCTCTGGAGTAAAGGTTGGTGTGAATGCAACCCTTTCTCCCTATTCAGGTAGCCATTGTCCAGAGCGCACCTGTCAATGCAGGAAGATGTGGAGGGGGAAGGGAGAGGGGTTATGATTGGGTGAGAGGAGAAGGGAAGAAGGAAGCGGGCAAGAAGGAAAGTGAGGGAGGACCAAGGCAGGCACTGTGGCGCAAGCCTTCTGTCCCAGCACTGGGAGGCAAATGCAACTGAAGGAGGAAGAAGGGAAAGAGGAGGAGGGGAGGAAAGAGGAAGGAAGGAGGAGAAATGTAGAGAAAGGACAGGGAGAGGAAGACAGAAGGAAGGAAACTGTGGGGTGTGTACACTGGCCATCCCAGCCAGGGGCTGAGTGTGCAGGGAGAAGGGGACTACGTGCAGGGAGCACCTTGTTCTTGAGCTGATCCTCTCGGCTCTGGTATGTGGTAGGACACCAGCCCAGGATGTCTCTCTGGGATGCCCAATAGAACAGTTAGCCCCCTGCACCACCTCCATCCCACTGGCCTTCCTTTCTGGCCTCACCTCCTCGAAAGTCTTGGACTCATGGACCCTGGACAGCTCTGCACAAGGCCCAGCGTGGCTCAGAGCGGTGGGGACACAAGTGGACACTGGCCGGCACTGAAGATGAAGGCAAGAGGATTGCGGCCCGGAGCAACACTGTGGAAGGAGGAATGAGGGGTCACATGGGCCGCAGTGTCTCCATCCTGCAGATCTCCCCGTAGGAAACCCCACTTCTCTCTGCTCCAGGGCGTCTCAGGAATTGTCAGTATGGGGACAAAATCCATGGGCAGCTGAGTTCATCTAAAAGAGGGAGGCTCTGGAGAGCTGTCTGCACTCTCAAACTTTCTACTGAACCCAGAGTCTGTCACCCCAAAGGACACCCAGACCAGCACTAGAAATCCGCTCACATCTGACAAGCTTTCACTGAACCCTGGTGAGGTGTCCAGAGGAGCCCGAATGTTATCAGTCCTCACTGTAACGTCACCTACCAAGAACAGCAACTCCAGCACAGGAGAAAGACAGACTTTGTCCCAAACCATATCTCCCCATTTTCAGAGCATCATACACCACGCTTGTCTCAAACATGCTCTGTAGCCAAGGATGACAGTGAACCTCCTAATCTTACAGCCTGTACCCCCGGCCCTGTCACTACACCTGCCTTATCTGTGCTGGGAACTGAATCCTGAACTTGATGCGTGCTCGGTGAACACAACTGAGCTACATTCCCAGCCCAGCCCCACATTTTGTTGTAGCTGGGGTGTGGGGGGTTGTGTTACTGTGGCCCGGGCCCAAGGCACCACTCATGCTAAGCAAACTGAAAGACCCTACAGACCCCCTCCTCAAAACCCACAGCTAGTATGCTCCCGGGGGAACGTCCTGTTTGCTTGAAAGATTCTCAGATCAGCAGCTAGCCTGCTCTCATGAGAACATCCCATTTGCTTAGGAAAGCAGGATGTCTACGAGATAGGATGATGCAAGGCAGGATATCAATAAGATAGGACATCAGCAAAGCAGGTTGACTGCAAAACATGATATCTATAAGATAGGAACAGGATGACTGTTGCTGACACCCATGCTGGGAGAGGAGACCATTCATGCCCCCCCCCCCCGCCTCATTCCGATTGACCCATAACCATGCTTCTGCTTCTGTAAACTTGCTTTTTGCTCTTTCCTATAAAAAGCCCGCCCTCCAGTCGGCAGGTGCGCAAGTCCTCCGAAAAGACTTTGCCGCCCACAGGTACCTGTGTTTACCCAATAAACCTCTTGCGGTCTCGGCCTGCTCCTTGGTGTCGGGGAAGTCTCCTCCCGAGAAAAGGGTCCTCTTCGAGGGTCTTTCACAAACATTCAGTCATAGAACTACAGCATCACCCTTTGCCCTTCCTTCTTTCCTTCCTCCCTCCCTTCCTCCCTCCCTCTCTCCCTCCCTCTCTCCTTCCCTCCCTCCCTCCATTTCTTCCTTCTTCTCCCTTCCCCTCCCTTATGGTCTCCTTTCTTCCTCCTATCTCCTTCCTTCCCCTTCCCTTTTCTTTTCCTTCCTTCCTTCCTTCCTTCCTTCCTTCCTTCCTTCCTTCCTTCCTTTCTTTCTTCTTTTCATTTTCTTTTTGGTTTTTCAAGATATGGTTTCTCTGTTTTGCTCTGGAGCCTGTCCTGGAAGTTGCTCTGTAAAACAGGCTGACCGTGAACTCACAGAGATCTGGAATTAAGAGATTTACTTTTTAGTTGGCTATATATGACTGCTTTGCCTGCCTCCGTATACGTGCACTGTGTGTGCTTAGCATCCACAGAAGCCAGCAGGGCTTCAGATCCCCTGCGCCTGGAATCAGGACAGTTCTAAGTCACTTGTGCTTGCTAGGAACTGATCCTGAGTTTTCTGGAGAAGCAGCAAACGCTCTTACCAGATGAACCTTCTCTCTAGCTTTTCTTTTTTTAATAGAGAGTTTTAACTGCACAGCACAGGCTGACCTTGAACTAGCAACCTTCCTGCCTAAGCCTCTCTAGTAGCTTGGATGGCAGACTTATACTACTTGGTACCCACCTTCTTCTGCAGGCCCATTTGCTCTTCCTAAACACCTGCAGACTTCAGTGCTCTGGGCCCATGTGGCTACTGAATACAAATACATATGCTGTTTCTTCTGTCACCCGCCTACGTCCACTATTTCAGCTATGAAGTTGACTGCAGCAGAAACAAAGTCTCCTGCCACACAGGGTCCCCAGGGGTTGCTCACTGCCTGCCCCCCTCCCATACACACACACACACTTCAGTGTAGACAGGACAGCATGGAGCTAAGCAGAAGCTAAGATCTAGACCCGGATGGCTGGTTCCAGGGTCACAGGCCTCAGAACTGTGGGAATTGCCTTGAGAATCTATCACTGTGAAACAGGCCTTGGAAAAACAGTGTTCACGCTAAGCACTGACTCCAGACTTGGACCCATAGGTAACCAGACACAGAATCAAAGCTTGATCTGTCCTGTTGGACTCCTTCACTATGGATTGCCTACTTATCTGTACCGGGCAGCGGGTGTCCTGTCAGGTTTTTTTTCCTTGATATAACTTAGGGTCACTTGGGAAGTGGGAGCAATTGAGCAAGTGCCCAGATCAGACTGGCTGAAAGACTGTCTTGATTGAGGATTGGTGTGGGAGGGCCCAGGTCACTGCCAGTGCCAGCATCCTAGTCAGAAGGGCCTGAACCTTATAGAAAGCTGCAGAGTGAGCCAGCAGGCAATGCTCCTCCAACGGCTTCTGACCAGCTTCCCAGCATGCTGCATTGATTAGGTTGCCTCTCTCTGCTTTTCACAATTACTCGGTTCTCAAAGTTTTGTATCGGGACAGGCGACCAAGGCTAGCTAGCTTGTGAGCTAGGAGTTCTGCCTTTTACCCTCAAACTCCAGGTCACAATCATTCAGACTAACAACCAGGAATGCAGCTGCCACACAACCAGGGGTCGGGAGCAGGACTGAGCCCATGCAGTCTCTGGACCCTGCTCTCACCTGGTAGGACAACTGGTCAATGCCTGGTCCCTGGAAGATAGGGGAGAAGAGAGGAGGGGTGCTAAGTCCTGCATCCCTGTGTGAATACAGGAGACCAAGATGATCCAGGACAAAGGGGAATGACCACACCCCAAGCCTGCAAGCCCAGGGAGGCCCCTGTCCCCTTTTTCAGTTGGTATCAGGGGTGAGGGTGCTAAGGCAGGGCCTGGGATCTCAGACCCCGGGCTTAGAGAAATGCTAATTGTACTTCCTCAGAATAAAGTGTCAGTCTGGTCCCAGGGAAGTGACAACCCCCAGGGCCCCTGACTTAGCATTTCTGATGAGGAGTGGGGGACAATAGGCCCCTTAGAGGAGACAGCCCTAAGCCTTTCAGGGGATCCATCTGCCCCTGGGCAGTATCTCCCACCCCCCTGTCCCTGTATTCCTGGACAAAGGCTTTATTTTTTTTAACAAATGAATTTGCAATAAAAAGGAAGAGGAATCTGTCAGATGGGGCCGTCTTCAGGCTGGCTGCTCTTGTAGCTCTGAGCCCCCACGTCAGGGAGCCCTGGGAAACCAGCATAAGGCAGAGTTCCAGGCTTGGCTGGGTCACAAAAGGTCAGCTCAGCTTGGGGGCAGGCAGGACAGTGCCTTTTACCTCCCAGACAATGGGGGAAAGGAGACCAGCTGATCTCAGAGGGAACAGAGATCACAGCCATCCAGAACCTACACAAGGGCGGTGCCCCTGGGAAACAGCAGGTAGGAACTCTCTACCTGCTGCAGGTACAGGGCAGGCAGTAGTGGGAAGTGCCCCCATCAAACAAGAAGCCACCTGGTCATGTTATTTGGAGTCACTTGAGGCTCCTACATCATGAAAATTCTTAATGTTTCATTGGCAATCTAGCCTGATTACTTGACAGAGTCGAAACATGAACACAATTGTGATCACAGCACTCATCAGGAGTTCAAGGCCAACCTGGGCTGCAATAAAACCCTGTGTTCTCAAACAAAACTTGTCAAGATAAACCCTTATTTGACCATCACTCCAAAGTGACATCTCTTCAGCATGAGTTCCCCCTTCTTGGGTTTTCTGGTCTGGCTCAGTGTATCCAAAGCCTGTTAGTTGTGGGAAGGGGTTATGGGTTTACACGTGAACAGGCCAGGTCTTACCTCAAACTCTCCGACTCCTTCTGAACTTTCACCTGGGGCCCCAGAACAGATGTCACCTGGAAGCCTTGAAGCTGAAGCACAAAATGCCGTGACTCTCAATGCTCCCTGATATTGGACGCTAAAGATCCTTTCCTCAAAGAGAAGGTTCTGGATCCTGGGTGGTAGAGACCCAGGACATGTCCTAAGTAATAGAAACAGCCAGATGCGCCCTGCTGTGTTTGTTCTCATTTTGCCCAGGAAGATATTAAAGTCTGATAGAAGGATTCCTATATCAGGAATCTACAAACTAAAACATATAGGGACGGAGTGGTTGAAAGAAATGGTGCTTGCAGCCAACCCTGACGACCCAAGTTCGATCCCTGGAACCTACATGGCAGAAGGCAAGAACCAGCTTCCTACAAGTTGTTCCCCAGCCTCCACATGTATACCCACAGAGAAACAGATTAATAAAGATTCTGCCAATGACATAAGTTTAAGTGACAGTGTCAACTGCCATTGTAGAGGGATAATTACAAAACAAGAATATAACCACTTATAAATTATACAAACATTCACCAAAGACAAATGTGGCTGGATGGCCTGGCATCACCAGGAGTGGTGGTGTACTTGTTTATTCCAACAAAAAGTAAGGCTTTCAATCAGGTAGAGTGGTGTTTCCTGTGATCCCAGCACCCGTGTAAAGTTGAGAGGCATGGTTCAAGCCTGTAATCCTAGCCCTGGGGTGGGGCGGGGCGTGACTAAGGCGGGAAGATGTGGGTTCAAGGGCCACCCAAGCAACATTTGAATTCCAGACCAGCCTAGGCTACATAGTACCTGGGGGGGGGGGAGTAATTTTAAATGTTGGGCTGGGGATGTAGCTCAGTGGTTGACTGCCTAGAATGTACAAAGTCATGAACTCTACTGGGAGAAATAAAAAGGAATTTTAAACAGTATTTATTCTTCAGGTGTGGCACTCAGAACTCAGGAGGTATGTGTGTGGTGGAGGGGGTGTTCGTGTGTGTGTGTGTGTGTGTGTGTGTGTGTGTTTCTTCCTCTATCACTCTTTACTTTGTTTTCTGAGAGAATAGCTCACTGAATCTGGAACTCAGCAACTGGACAAGACAAGCTGCCGGAGCACCCTGAGGAATCCTCTCTTCTCCGCATCCATGGAGCTGGGATCACGGGTGTGCGCCACCAGCCCAGCTTTCCCAGGCAGTGCTGGGAACTTGAACTCAGGTCCCTGTGTTTGTGCATCAAGCGCTTTACCAACTGAGCCATTTTACAAACTCGCCAGAAGACACTGTGTGATGGAATGAGGTTCTCGTGCACGTTAGGATATAGGTAAGCTCTGAACACATCCTAATCAGTGGAAGGAGCCAGAAAAAAGAGCTTGCCAACCAGCTGATCACACTTACATGAAGCACCAGCTGATCACACCTCATAAACCACCAGAAGTAGGAAAGTCCCTAGACTCAGAAGAAGGGTGGGGTCAGGGAGGGTTCAGGGAGTTAGTGACTGAAGCTCCTGTTTAAGGTTCTGAATGTTGTGCCTATTTTACCACAGTAAAATAACCAAACCAAAATACAACAGCTTGCATGATACCATTAAGCTTAGAGGGGTGCCAATATTTTGTCATTTGTCATTTACAAAGTTCAGACTTCTAAACTACAGAGTCAAGTTGCACACACACCAAATTGCAAAAAAGTTTGTCCCAAAATGTTCTGAGTAAGTTTGCAGTTTGGAATTGGGCTGCATTCCCAGCTGTCCTTGGGCACATGTTGGACAAGCCTGCAAGAGAGTGTCATGGAGGAGCAGCAGGGGGTTGCGACGGTGCAACCCAGCCTGCAGGGAGCCTAAAGATTTCTCCTCAGGACCCTGATGCTGCCTACATATCCCAATATGCAGAAACCCTTCTCAAACACAAAAATAAACAAAACAACAACAAGAATTTGGAGTTGACGAGTTGACTTAGAACCATTACAAAGACACCATCTGCGGTCCACATGAAAACAGAACAGTTTTTGAGAAAACTAATCAGCCAGCTCAAGAATGTTACACAAGTCCAACCAAGATCTCAGAAAAAGCCAAGGGCATGGGAAGGTTTGTCTAAGAAGCAGGACAGTCGTCGTAATAGGACACATGGGAATAGGTGAGCAGTTCCCCTTACAAAGAGACAGAGGAGCTTTTGATACGAGGGGAAAGAAATTAAAGCACCCAGTGAACTTAGCACAATGTTCTTCCAGGACTAACATCACTGCAGCTAACGATTCACCTTTGTTCTAAGCCTGTGGACCAGGCAGTGCAAGACCAGTCAGTATCCAGCAGAAAGGATGACAGGGCAGGCCTAGAGGCTCGGCTGAACATGTGTTTCCACCAGTCTGTTCGTGCACACGTCTGTGTATATGCACATGTGTATGGAGGTCAGAGGACCCCTTGGCTGATGTTCCTCAGGCATCTAATTCCATCTTTAGACAGGATCACTCACAGGCCTGGAGCTCCTTGATTCAGCTGCTCTGGCTGCTCAGCAGGACTCAGGCATTGCAAGTGTGAGCCACTATACCCGGGTGTTTTTATGTGGATTCTGGCATTGGACTTGGTTCTCATGCTTGCCTGGTAAGCAGTTTACTGACTAAAGCATCTCCCAACCACACACTCCTCAAGCAGGTATTCCTTACTTCCACCATTTTACAAAAAATGGATCTGAGACTCAAAGTGATTAACAAACTTAGCAAATGCCACATTCAAGCCTCAGCAATGTCCAGCCAATGAGATGGCTCAGAGGGCAAAGGTGATGACCAGCAAGCCTGATGACCTGAGTTTATCCTCGGGGCCCAAAGGTGGAAGGAAAAACTGATTTTCTGAAGTTCTCTGATCTGAATACATGAGCACGCATGCACCACCTCTAACACACCACACACACACACCACACACACACACACACCACACACACACACATNCCCCCCCCCCCCCCCCCATTTTAAAGCAGTAAAAACAAATGAACCGGTCTTGGCAGCCTGGCTCCCCCTCTACTACCCTGATAAATATGAAGTAGGAATGGGGCTGTTCCCTCCATTTTAGTAATAATCTAGGCAGGAAAGATGTCCAGCCTGGACTAGAGGGTCTTGCTGGGGTGTGGAGAGATCCTGGACTGGGAGGTCTTTCTGGGGTGAGAAGGGATTGCTAGCAGGAAGAATGGGCATAAGGAATGAGATGTCTGGAATTTTCTAAGCCCACCTGACAGAGAAGCGTGACATTTTATTGTCCAATGTCACTGTCATAGCCTCAGGTCCCCAAGATGCTTCTCTCTTTCTTACCAATTTGCTCCCAGACTTTTCTGGTCTGTTCCACCCTCAAAAGAGAAATGGGGTGTAGGGCCAAAGGCAGTTATCCACCTGGGAACCCCAAGGCAGAAGGAGAGTATGGCTCGCGGCTGGGGTGACTCACTATTGGAAACGCACTGCGTGGGTGGCTTGGCTGTCCTCCCACTGGTTTCTGGGAGCACAGCCAAAGCTCCCACGCAACTGTTGTTCACCCCACCTTGCAGCCCTTCCATGCATCACCCTTGCTCTGGCTCTGCCCCAGTGGCCTAAGACTCCTGGTCAGAGGTGCGACTCAGTGTCCGTGGGAGACGCACCTTTGCAGGCCACCTTACAGGATGTCTCCTGCCCAGCCTGTGAGTCCGCAGCTTCTGAAAGCACAGTCAGAACCAGGGCAAGGTTAGGAAGAGGTGTGGGATGGTCCCCGCCCCGTGGGCCACCCACCTGCTGAGGGAGAGGATGAGACAGAGGGGTGAGGAGAACTCTTCAGCTCCTTAGCCTTTGACTAAAATGCCCTTTGCCAGCTTGGACGCCAGTTCCAATGCCCCTGATTGTTCAAGCCGGTGGGCCAGGAGGGCCTGTGTGTCTCTACTTTTTTCATCTGCCACAGCCCAAGCCTGCTGTATCACTGAGTTCTGTCAACTCCATCAGCTAGTACTGTCTTCCTCCCTCCCTCTACCCTTCTCTCCACCCACCTGCCCACCCATCCACAGGCCTTGGCTCCTGGACCATGGCTCCAGCAAAGCCACACCTTCTCTTACCTAGACACCAGGAGAGCCCTCTACCTATCCTCGGCTCCCGGGAGTTCACATCAGTAAAACACAGGTATGAATACTAGAGTCTGGACCTCAGAACCCACACAGAAAGTCAGGCACCGCGGTGCATGCTAGTGATTTGATCCCAGAGAGAGGGAAGCAGGGTTCAGGGCTTGTGGCCAGCCTGTGTAACCTACTTTGTGAACTTCAGGCCAAATGCAAAAAGGTAACTCAAAAAACAAGATGGATGGCAGAGAATGACACCCTACGCACTCACACACGCAGCACGCAGCACGCACACACAGCACTCACAGGGAAGTGGGGGGAGGGAGGGAGGACCATTCTCCTTTCTCTTTATAAAATCTCAATCACAAAGCCAGCCTCCACCAACCCTCTGGCCATGCCCACTGGCTCTCACCCTCTAGCCGCCCTGGCGGTTGATCTGCCTCTGTACAAGCTATTCTGTCTAAACACTATGCCTTCTGTTCTCTAAACAGAACTCCCCTCTGCCTAGAGAAGGTTCCTCCCTGCCCTTCTCTGCTTCAGCACTTTTGTGCCCACAACTCTTGTTTTTAATTATTCTGATTTAGTTAACTTTGTAGCTTTCAGTTTCTGGAAAAGAACTCGGCACCCAGTAGAGAATGGAAAGGTGAATGAATGAATGAATGAATGAATGAAAGAAAGAACGAATTCCAATCAATTCTATATTCCACCAATCCCATCTTCCTGGCAGCCAGCAAAAGCCGCCATCATCTAGAGATAGAGGCCTTGAGACTACAGGGACCTTTTGCTAACTCATGGCTTGCCAGCAAAAGAACCAACAAGCTGAGCCCATTCCACAGGTTTGTCACCTCTCTCCTGCAAATGAGGGTAAGTAGGGGCTCAGTGAGGGAGAATATGCCCCCAAGGACATATGACCTGAGTTCAATACCCAGAAGGGATGGTGGAAAAACCCCAGCTCTCGCAAGTTGTAATCTGACCTTCACATGTGTCCCATGGAGTGCAAGGCCAACACGTATGTACACACAAAATAAATACAATTTAAACTTCTTAAAACAACTATGCTAAATTTAGGAGAGTGGCTGGATGAAAGGGATGGACAGATGGATGGAGAGGAGGAAGTAAGGAAGGATTGAAGGACAGATGGACAGGTGGATGGATAGATGGATGGGTAGAAGGATGAACGGGTGGGTGGGTGCACGGGTAGGCAGATCAACCAAGAAAAGCCAATAAACTGTGTCAGACAAATGTTGTTATGGCCCAGAAGAAGACATGCTGACACATGACACAAGTCACCGTCATGACACAGAGGAAGACATGCTGACACATGTTGCCATCATGACACAAAAGACATGCTGACACGTGAACATGTTGTCATCATGACACAGAAGACATGCTGACACGTGACACATGTTGCCATCATGACACAGAAGACATGCTGACACGTGACACATGTTGCCATCATGACACAGAACACATGCTGACACGTGACACATGTTGCCATCCTAACACACACTGCCGTCTTGAGACAGAAGACGTGCTGAGAATGATCAGATATAGCACAAGCTAGGGTCCTCCCAGCCTTTACCTCAAGATGCTGGAGACACCAGAAGAGCCCCAAACCCTTCCTAGATCAGCATCC